GTAAATATCTATGTACGTATTCTTGTAATTTCAACAAATTCTTAGAAATTATCAAAGATACTGCCGCGACATCACCTTCGACAATACATAATGTTTTAACATCACTCGTTCCTCACCACTAATCTCAATGAATGAGCCGTTTCTCTGCCTACCCTTGACCAGTATTGATGCCAAATGCTCGTAAAACATTAGTTGAAGCCGCCATCATCCAAAAATATTAGTTTAAACAATAAAATAGTCGTAACTAGGAATAATGACTGACTGGGGTGATTCTTTGAAACAGAGGGTTTTTGACTCATTAATCTGGCTCAAATTTTTTTTGCATTTAGATCTAAATTGATATTATAGTTTGACCCAGTGCTTTATGTGCAATATCATATATCGAAGGCATCGAATTGCATCATGTAGATTAGAATTTGGAAGGTGCTGATTAATTGATGAGCCAGATTAATGATGACATAGGCAGATGAATGTGATTTCGCACCGTATTAATTAGAGGTATACAGATTAATGATAATTCCATTATTTTTTCCAATCAACTTTATTATAAAATTGTACCAAATATTGAAATAATAACTCCTATGACTAATTAACAAGTACTCTCTTTGGCTGACACAAGATAATAATTATAATTATGTAAACAGTAACACTTTCGTTCAAATGAAACATTCATTAAACCTTTAATTGTCGTTGATAAATCACACTAGCTTCAACGCTATAATAAAATACTTACTTAATAATTAATACTTAATGCTTACATGAAATAGTAAACTAATCTTCATAAGACCTTTTAATAACACAAAACAATAACGAATTTTAGCTTAAAACAAAAATAAACTTCACCGAATACAAACTCTTAATTAAAATTAAATAAAACTTACTAATCAAAATCAGACTTAATTTTGCAGTACGATAGGAACTGTAAGGTTGAGATCGTAGAAAACTAATTACTAAAAAATATTAAATTCTTCATCATCGGAGTCTATTAAATATGGATTGATATTTTCTAAATCGACACTAAAATGTTTATTTCCATCTCTTGAAAAAGTTATCTCTGAGATTTTATCAAAGTCAGAATACTGAGACATTTCCGTTCTTTCCGCAGCATTATCCTTCCTATCTTCTTTTTGCTCGTTATCTTCCATTAATTCTTTATTAATATCATTATTTATTCCCAATGATTTACGTACACCTTTATGATTTCTTTGACGTTTATGTGATATATTGAATTCAAGTTCTTCATCTAAAATTCTTTGATCTATGTTCGGCGTATTAATATTTTGTGTATCTGGTTCATTACTGCTTGTCCAAAAGGATTGACC